CTGGCCAGCCAACTGTACATGAACGTTACAGAGTAAACTTTGGATATCAGAGGGCAGAGGCACTCTTGCAAAATTATGAACACCAACTGGTGGCAAATAGCAGGGGAGTTTAGGAATCCTAGGGGAATACTGGGAAAGTATATTGAAGGTCTTGCCACGATTTGTCTTGATCTTTAGGAGCAAGTGGGGTAGAAAAGAAGTGTTGGCAATGTTTTAGACAGAATACCAATGACATCAGTCGATACAGTGTTTTCCATTGCAGTCACAAGTTCTGGAACAACCAGGGCTACAACTGACCAGTTCAATCAGGAGAAACAATTAATCAGTTGGTAATAATCCACTGTAAAGCTCCAGCTCCCAGTAGTTCTCGTCACTGGCCATACAGTAACAATTATATTGAGATGTTGCATCTTTTACTCACCCTGCTGCCTTTAAGTTTTCAATCAGGTTTGTTAGGTCTCTCCTACTGAGATATTATATTGTTTTGTTGAACCACACAAGGAAGGAGGAGGAGAGGGGTTCAGAAGGAACCTACATGTCCCATTAGCACTCTCTACATGCATCTCTACCTGAACAGGGGAATCACCTCTGGACTCTTTGATCATTCATAGTCCAAGCATTTAAAGTATCAATACCAATACTATATTCAACAGTGGAAGTCATGAAAATATACTGCTTTGAATTGGCCCAAAGGGCTTTATTCACAAAGGAGCATCTGTGGATAGAGGGCTTCCCTTCTGTGCTATGAATTCTACCCAATTCCCCTTTATTGAATCTAGCCCTCAGTCCACAGCACAGGGTTTGCTGATAACATGGGAACCTGTATCCAAAAGCCTCCATAAAGTTTCCCAGTATACTTGGATGGGTATAGCCTTTAGGTCAGGGAGACCTCTATCAGACCCCTAATTACCTTTCTCCTGAAGACACCTGAAGTTGAGGAGGAAAAGGGTGGAAGGGAAGGCCATGGGAAAAGATAGAGTAGATGTGTGCCCCAAAGATACATTGTTTTAAATCTTAAATTAACAAAATTGGCCTCCAGAAGAAATAGAGTATCTGAATAGATCTATATTAAGAAAACAAATT